TAGGGGGTCGAGGGAGGGTTTATTAAAAAGTTCGATCCTTCCTCTTTCCAATAAGGGGTCGGGAGTGGGGATAGCCCKACCCTGTTTTTCTCCATAAACGATATTTAACCGGCGCGATACTAAATATTCCCCGAAAGTCGGGCATAAGCACAAAAAATTTTTGCAATATCTTTAAAAAAAAAGTTGATTTTGGTGAATTGTGACAATGGATGTTGAGTTTTAAGCTATTTCGATTGCAAGTTTAGATATAAGTGCTTGAAATACTTGCAGATCCTTCAGAGAAAATTAAAAAAAATGTTCAAAATTGGTGATTTGGTGTCTGTCTTAAAATATAAATATATAGTGTGTTGAATTATGCTGGCAGAGCGCCTAAACTAAAATTTCTGGATCATATAAGCCTAGTGTTGTGAAAGGTGCTATAAATGTCAAAATAATTGACAAATTAATTTGTCCATATATCAAAATATATAAGTGTAAAGAATATTGATGAAAATATCATAAAAAATTCTCCCAGCAGGCACCAAACTGTTTTTTCCAACAACAAAATTTTGTACCATCCACTTATTTCACCTCAAAACGTTTTAACTTAATCTCCTCCATCTTTACAGTTGTTGGCGCAAATGGTTTTCACCACGCGAACTGCGCGCTCGCACCGTCCACTTAGGACGTGCGACTACTGAGAAATTCCCACCGAACGAGATACGTAATCAAAAATACAATGTGATCACGTTCCTGCCGCTCGTGCTATTCGAGCAATTCCGCTTCTTTTTAAATCTATATTTCCTACTCATGGCATTGTCACAATTCATACCCGACATACGTATCGGCTATCCGTACACCTATTGGGGACCGCTTAGTTTTGTACTGATGGTGACAATTGGACGTGAGGCAGTCGACGATTTGCGGCGACACCAACGTGATCACGAGGTGAATTCACAGAAATACAAGAGGCTAACTGTAAATGAGACACCAGGTTATGAAATGGTGCCCTCATCGAAACTGAAAGTCGGTGATATGATCATTGTGGAGAAGAATGAACGCGTGCCAGCCGATTTAGTGCTGCTGCGTACCAGCGACAAGAGCGGCTCGGTTTTTGTGCGCACTGATCAATTGGATGGTGAGTGAAGAGTGCGCCGCTGAACGCTAGTGTTACTATTTGAAGATAAATTTACTTTGCTTTTGTTAATTTACAGGTGAAACCGATTGGAAACTGCGCTTAGCCGTGCCGCTTACGCAGAAGTTAAACAAGGACTCCGATTTATTTAATATTGACGCCAGTGTTTACATTGAGAAGCCACAAAATGATATACACTCCTTCATCGGCACATTTTCGATGGTGCGTTGCAGTTTTCTCTGTGAATCCATGACATTTTTAATTGAGTCTTCTTTATAAATATAATTTTCTTGTTCTTCCTTAGCACGATGCTGGCGATGAAACTGGTCTAAATGTGGAGAATACATTGTGGGCCAATACAGTGGTCGCTGCCGGCACTGCCACCGGCATTGTCATCTATACAGGCTGTGAAACGCGTAGCGTAATGAATAACTCACAGCCTCGCTCGAAGGTTGGACTGCTCGATGTGGAGATTAATGGTCTAACGAAGGTAGGTATTTTATGGCTTGCCAAAAATCTATGAAATGTGATTATTATGCGCCAAACTGAGTATGCTAAGTGTCCCACGAAGTTGTAAAACCCCATAAGTATCCCAACTTTCCTGCTGGTTTTACAACTTCCTTCAAATAGTATTTGAGTCAAGTCCTTGTAAGAAAAGTTATTTTTTTCTGATACTCGTCGACACCGAATTATCGTTCATACTCCGAATTATATAATATAATTATTATTCAATCCGCCAGGTGCTCTTCTGTGCCGTGCTCGGCCTGTCGCTCGTCATGATGATGCTTAAAGGCTTCAGCGGCCCCTGGTATCGTTACATGTTCCGTTTTGTACTACTCTTCTCATACATCATACCCATCAGTCTGCGCGTCAATTTAGATATGGGCAAAGCCTTTTATTCGTGGCAAATGCAAAACGATCCTGAGATACAAGGTACCGTAGTACGTTCGACAACCATACCCGAAGAACTCGGTCGCATATCGTATGTGCTGACGGATAAAACCGGAACGCTGACGCAAAACGAAATGGTTTTCAAGAAGATACACTTGGGCATAGTTTCACATGACAATGACACATTTCATCACATCGGTCAAATAATACAAAATTTAGCGCCCACAATATTGTCACAAAGTGCACCGGGCGTCGGTGGTGCTGGTGGTGGCAGCGGTGTTGCTGGTAATAACATTGTAGTTGAACAACAACAAGCACCGTTAATTATAACAAATAAACCGATGTATTCCGGCAATCGCATGCGTCATCCGGAGGGTTGGCGTGAATGGGAGGCGGTTAAGGCGTTGGCGTTATGTCACAATGTTACACCGATCACTGATGAGGACGACAATAAATCTGTATCCACGTCATCGACCTACACATCATCAGCAGGTGCGTGTATTTGTATTTGTATAAATTCATTTTTATATTATATTAATCACGTTCCATCTCTTGGTTTGTTGCATGTTTCAGGCGGCTCCACTTCACCTACAAAATCTGTGATAAATGTTGAATCCAGCGCAACGGAGCACCAGTATCAGGCTTCCTCACCCGATGAGATCGCGCTGGTTAAGTGGACGGCCGAAGTGGGTCTAACTTTAATTGCACGTGACATCAATTCGATGACTTTGCAAATGAAAACGAGAAAATGTGAGTATTAAGACAAAATCAGTGGTTTGGTGTTATGTCCATTAAAATAATTACACATTAGAGGACGAATTGATCCAGACGGCTAAAAGTAAGATAGGACCAAACCGATTTTTTTTTGTCTCGGTTACCCAATGCCATGAGTCTCGATAGCAATTTAACGCCTAGATAACTCATGGCCTAAATCGAAACCCCGTTATAAGAGGACCGTCCTAGTTCGTTCCCACGACGGTCGGGTCTACGTAATCAGAACGGACCCAGTATTTTTTTTCCGGCATGGACTGTCAACTCGGCTAAATTCTGCCGCTACAACAAGAACAGGACCATCCTAGTATAATTGGGCTTCTCAAAAGTTTTTGACACCGTCAGTTGCGCTTCCATCAGGAATGCAGAGATGAACCATGTACTATTTGAGCGTTCGTCAATCATCTGTTCTATTTTGAAGTCAAAATTTTAATCTGAAATTGACGTCGGACCTCTTGAATCCCTCTAGAATCTTTACTGCAATGAGCCTAAAACTCTCCCCAGCTAAATTCCAGCGACCTCTAATTGGATGTAGGAATACTGACCACACCTCAACCTACAGTGAAAGCCTCAAAACATTCACCCTCATATAATCGCGATTATTACCAAGGTATACTTACAACTCAGACGCTACCGGGCGCAGCTGAGGAAGATGTAGACAAGTCAGAGTATCGCACTCCGGATGTTTCTTAATGTCCCCCGTCGAACATCTCCATAGTTGGGTGAGGTTAGGTTTTCGCAGAAATCAGCCCTGGAGTCATCTTCTTGATACGGAGTCCCCTTCCGGGAGCTGCAAGAAAACATAACAATGACCATATCCTTCTTTGACTCCTCATAATCCGTTCTCTTACATTCCACTCTCTTCCAACGAGTATTACATATTCCATCTTAACATCTTTCATATATTAACTTTTGCTTACAGCCAAAGGTGAGTCTGCAGACGGCATGCTGCAATTCCAAATTCTCCAGCTGTTCCCCTTCACCAGTGAGAGTAAACGCATGGGCATTATAGTGCGAGATTCGGGATCCGGCGAAATCACTTTCTATCTTAAAGGCGCCGACGTAGTTATGACCTCCATTGTGCAGTACAACGATTGGTTGAGCGAAGAATCGGGCAATATGGCGCGCGAAGGTCTGCGCACCTTGGTGGTCGCCAAGAAAGTGCTCTCCGAAGAGCAATATAACGATTTTGAGACACGCATAAGCGCGGCACGTCTCAGTGTAACTGATCGTGTTGCAAAAGTCGCCGCAGTGATTGAGTCATTGGAGCGTGAGATGGAATTGCTTTGCTTGACGGGTGAGTTGGACGGCAAGGAATGTAAAACCCATCATTTTTACATAAATGTTTTCCTTTATGTTTTTGCAGGTGTTGAGGACCGTCTGCAAGATGGCGTGCGTCCCACACTCGAATTGCTGCGCAACGCCGGTGTACGTGTGTGGATGTTGACAGGTGACAAGCTCGAGACCGCCTGCTGTATTGCCAAGTCATCACAGCTGATCGGTCGCAATCAGGGCCTGCATGTATTACGCTCCGTGTCGACGCGTACCGAAGCACACGCCGAGCTAAATAACTTCCGCCGCAAGCAAGGACACGCATTGGTTATATCAGGTGAATCGCTTGAGGTCTGCCTACAATATTATCGGCCGGAATTTCTCGAACTTGCCACCGCCAGTCCGGCGGTTGTGTGCTGCCGCTGCAGTCCCACGCAAAAGGCGCAAGTAGTGCAACTCATACAACATCATACCGGCAAACGCACCTGCGCGGTCGGCGATGGCGGCAACGATGTCAGCATGATACAACAAGCCGATGCTGGTGTGGGCATCGAGGGTCGCGAGGGTAGACAAGCTTCGCTCGCGGGCGACTTTAGCGTACCACAATTCTCACATATTGCCAAATTGTTGCTGGTGCATGGTCGCCGCTCGTATAAACGCTCGGCGGCGCTCTCACAATTTGTCATACATCGTGGTTTAATTATAACCACACTGCAAGCAGTTTTCTCCGCCGTCTTCTATCTGAGTTCGGTGGCTTTGTATCAAGGTTTCCTCATGGTCGGCTATTCAACGTTGTATACAATGTTTCCCGTTTTCTCTTTGGTGCTGGATCAAGATATTACGTCGACCACAGCCGTCACCTATCCCGAGTTATACAAGGATCTATCCAAGGGTCGTAGTTTAAGCTACAAAACGTTCTTCATTTGGGTGCTAATCAGTATATACCAAGGCGGTGTGATTATGTATGGCGCACTCATTTTATTCGAAGACGAATTCATACATATTGTGGCGATTAGCTTCTCGGCGCTCATTGTCACCGAGCTGATAATGGTGGCGTTGACGGTGCGCACGTGGCATCGGTGAGTGAGATGAGTTTGTTATAAACTAAAATATAAATACTAAGGATGAAACTAAACTCGTGAACGTAGCAAATTTATTTATTTTTGTTTTAATTTTAATTTTATTGTATGCCAATAGCATACAGTTGTGATACAAACTAATCGTTCAAAACCAAGTTTTTGTATGAAAAACATTTTTGTGTGACAAACCATTTCACGAAATTTATTAAAATTGTATTTATTTAAGACAATAAGCACACTTTGCTAAATAAATAATTGTTCCTTTCGTTTTACAGCCTTATGGTATTAGCTGAACTCTTCAGTTTGGCCCTCTACTTGATATCGTTGGCTGTGTTGCACGAGTATTTCGGTGAGTTATTACATCTTAACAAATATTTACTAAAGTAATTATTATATTCTTCTCTGTTTTTATTTCTTCCTCCACACAGATTGGGAGTTCATCTGGTCGTATGACTTCCTCTGGAAGGTCTCCATAATTACTCTGGTGTCCTGCTTCCCTTTGTACATTATAAAATTCTTGCGCAAAAAATGCTCACCGCCGTCATATTTAAAATTATCGTAAATTGTTGGCGTAAAGAGCGATATTTATTATTGTTTTTACACACACACATACACAAAGTGTCCGTATGTATATGTTTCTCATTTATAGCCCACGTTTTTTGTTATTTCCGAATAAGTAATTTATGATTTAAGTTGACACACGCGATTAAGTACATTTCGTTTGCCTTTTAGATTTTAAAAAAATATTTTATATTCTAGTATATATGTATATGAATAATAAGCATTTGAAGAGTCAAATAATAATTTAAATATTTAAGCAAATAAACAAATGTCGGTTAGAAAGAATAAATAAATATTAAAAATTAAAAAATGGTATTTTGTTTGACAAGTCGTCGCACCTAACTGTTATTTTTCTGCTGTATTGATATTTTCTTTTTTATGAGTATATGTTGGCTAAGCTTTTGGCAGCTGGTTTTGCGCAACAACAATGTTGCTGTTTCGCAAGTTCATTTGTGGTAATATTGATTTCTTTCGTTTAAAAATATTTGATGCTAATTTTGAAATATTTTTACTATAATATATTTTACACAAATTACACAAACGTATTATTGTTGCGTTTATTTTCTGAATATTTTTACATACAAAATTAAAAACAAAAAAAAATATTTGAATTAAAAAAAAAATTTTTAATTAAAAAAATGTTTAAAATAAAAACAAATTTTAAAAGAAATGTGTAATAAGACTTTTCTGTTTCGCGCTTTGAAAAAAGCTTCGAAGAAGTCAGCGAAGGCTAGTAAGCGTGAACGATCACCCTTTATTGCTCTCGCTGCAAGTTTAGACAGAACCCTAAAAAATAATTTCAAAAATCTATTGAAGAATTTGTAAGCTTATATAAAATCAGACTGTGTTGTTAGTTGGTATCGTATGTATGTAACGTCGTAGGTGATTTAAAAAAAAAAAGTTAATTCATAATACAAAAAGATTTAATTCCCAAAATATTTATTGGCATAACTGTGTAGATAACGACTGGCTAGCAAATATGTGTCAACAATTTCCAAAAACAATGGTTAAAATTATAATAAAATGTTGTTAATTATATGAATTAATTAGACTAATGGCTGCAGTGAAAAAAGAAAACACAAAATACAGTTACAGCGCAAAGAAATAAGCATACAGAAAGTTGAGGACAGATATGGAAAAACTAAAATGAGAAAACGAAAATAAATTTTATGGAATATATTTGTTAAAAAAGTAATGCAGGAAATTGTCGTTTTAATTTTAACAAAAAAAAAAATTAAAAAAAAAATAACAATAAAAAATGCAATGCTGACAAATCTAAGACCATAAAAACGTTTATTGGTGTCATTTTTTTACATTTTCTAAAAATTAAATTAGTTAAAATGAAATTTTAATTTTTTTACATATTACAGAAATGAATCAATATGTAAAGCTCATGTACATATATAGTACATACATATAAAAAAATTTAAATAGTTTTAATTTTATAAAAATAGTTGCTAGAATTATATTTTAAAAAATATTAATTTTTACAGTTTTGAAAGCAATAGAAAACAAAAAGCAGATAGAGAAACAGTAAGAACTTATTTATTTATTATTTGAATAATAT